GAAAATTGAGAACCTGAGAACCTAACGTCGGGGGTTTAAATGGAGAGAAAATGTTTTGAGAAACGATGTACAAATGCGCTTTACACAATTGATGTGTTTATGGATTGGGATAACAGTTGTATGAGCCCCTAATAAAATGTTAAAAAAGAAAAAAAAATTATAGTAACAGCTGAAAAACAAAACCAGACATCCATGCACACAGATTTACTAACCAGTTTGTCATAGAGTAATATTTCCATCCAGTTCAGGCCTTTAAAATCTTCCGGACCTCTCCTAGTCCTCAAAGTTAATCTCTATTCAGTACCCAAATTATCTAGTCACCAAATTTAAAATCACATCCCCAACTAAGACTCTTAAAAGGTTCACTTAAGCTTTTAGGGCAGGAATATTCTTAGTATGATGCACAAAATCTTCATAACCTGGTCTTCCAACCTCATTTTGTTTTACTTTTTGCCTTGAACTCTTCCGGCCACATACTGAAAATTGTTTTCTAAATTAAGAAATACATAAAAGAACCTTTCCTATCTGACCAACAAATTACAGCTCAAGCAACACTTTCCAAGCTCTCTGGTATTGCGAGTGGGTATTCATGTTCTAGAAAAAGAATGACTATGTAACACACACTGCACACAGCAGCAAAACAAAATTAATGCCACTCTCCTATAACGAAATCAGCATTCTAAACAAAAGCAAAGTATTCTCAATCCTCATTTTAAACATTTATTAAAAACCATTTTTTAAATTAAATTTTGAATCCCAGACTGCATTGAGATTTAATATAATCCCAAAATCAGATCTGGAGATGCTAAATCAAAGTAACTAGAGAAAAACAACATAAGCTATAGAAACAATGTAAATCAACAGTAAGCAAGCTAGTACCATATATACTAAAGTACAAGCCAACCGAATATCTACGGAAGCACCCAATTTTACCACAAAAACTGCATAAAAATGTGCTGAAAAATTCCGTTTATACTCAAGTATATATGTTAACTGGTTACTAGGATTCTGCTGACCTCTTCTGGAGAAGCCATGAAAACACTTTTTTTTCCTATTTAAAAAATAAGCCATCTCGCTCGCACATGTTTATTTTTGTAACTAGAATTTCCTAAGAAAGTGGTTTGATGGGAACCGATTACAAGGATCTACATGGGACCTCCTCCCTGGGGGGACGGACAACAGAAAAGTGGGTGAAGGGAGACGTCGGACAGGGCAAAATATAACAAAATAATAATTTATAAATTATCAAGGGTTCATGAGGGAGGGGGGAAGGGGGAGCGAGGTGAAAAAATGAGGAGCTGATACCAAGGGTTCCAGTAGAAAGCAAATGTTTTGAGAATGATGATGGCAACAAATGTACAGATGTGCTTGACATAATGGATGGATGGATGGATTGTGATAAGAACTGTATGAGCCCCCAATAAAATGATTAAAAAATACTAGATTCATCTATTAAGTATATATTATTTCAAATACTTACATGTCTTCAGGCATCCAGTGAAGCAAAAGTTTTATCTTTCCAGAATCCTCTTTTCTCTTAGCTATTACCTATTAATGACACGAAAGGGTTAAAAAATGTTTAATGTACCATTTTAAAGGGCCCTGGGCCAAAATTGAGAACTTTAAGTATTCATATTACCAAGACATTCTCTGCTTTGCTAACACTCACACTTCTCACAAAATCGAAAGCTCCTTGAAGGAGTAAAGACTGTATCCCTGGTACTTTTGCACCTTACCGCCTATAGCATAATTTAGCTTCAACAGTAATCTAAATAAAAAGTAATTTGGAATCTAAAATAAAAAAATAAATCTGAATTCAGGAAACCCTGAAGAGTTCAGAGGT